CAGATGAACCGACGAGCACATGAAATTCCAGATACTGATCATCACAGAATCCACGTGTGGCAGAAAGGATGGATAATCTTCTGGCTTGGTTCCAGCCTGGTGGAGCCTGCATGTGGTTGTTTCAGGCTAATGTAAAAAAAGGGTACACCATTTATTCTGCCAGGGCATTACGTGTAACGTTTTATTTAATTCATATATCTGTGGTAACAATCCTGTTACCTTCTTTCTAATTGGCGTGACTGTGCATAGCAGATCATGCCAAGAAAATCCTTGTTTTTTAAGTCAGAAATTAACCTGAGATTTGGTAAACAAAGTTAGGCTCTGGTCACAGAAATTTGCAGGCGCTATGTACCACCTTAAGTTAAATTACTTGAGTGGGTTCTGCAGCATGTAAGTACCATGGCAGGTGTAGGCCTAGCTGGTTAGGATTCTGAAAAACAGCTGAATGATAATACTTAATCAAATACGACTGCAGGGGCTGCAGCCTGCCAAGTTAAAAGATTTCATTTTAAAACAAGGTAAACCATTGTGTCTCCTTGATTAAAGGCATTAAACTTTAGTAAGAGATATGTGGCCTTATAGTGTTCTTACACATTGGTTTGCATTGGAAGGGACCTCAAAGATCATCTAATCCTTGGAAATACCCCTATGGGCAGGGATGCCACCCGCTAGATCAGGTTGCTCAGGACATCGTCTAACCTGGCCTTGAACATTGTCAGGGATGGGGGGATGGGGCATCCACAACTTCTCTGGGCAACCTGTTCCAGTGTTTCACCACCCTCATGGGAACCATAAACACTGTACATGAATCATAAATACAAGTGTTGTGGGCCTGGGATGGCCCAGTAGAGGATGAAATACTGATACTGTAAACAAAGATTGGTGTCTTGGATTTATCTTCCCAATCCTATTTCCCACCCTCCCTAGATAAGTTTGGTGCACAGGATGCAAATTCAAGTCATGGCATCATTGCTTCCTCTCCACGGAGAAGGATGTTCAAGTTTCACCTGAAGCTACAAATCATTGCAGACTTTAGCTGTTTCGTGTTCACACTCTGATAAGTCTGTCCTGTGCCAGTGTTGGGAGCACAGGTGAAGATGCTTAGGATGAGGAAGCATCATCCCGACTGGAGAGGAAGGGTCTTTAATGGCCTGTGAACCTGTCTGGATTGGAGTGAACTGCCAGGGACTCCGACAGTCTCAAATACTGCTGCATTGGGTGGCAACTGGCAGATTTGGAAGGCTCCATGTGAGCTTTTCTATTCAGTCCCCTTCCACAGGGACAGTCAATTTAACTGTGGAGGTGTGGACTGGAATTTTTTGGCAGTTACCATTATCAGTGATAATGATAAATTCTCTGTTGGCTGTCCATTTGTGTCCTGCCTCAGCAATTGCACTTAGCTTGCAGGTGAGTGCTAGAATGCTCACTTTTGAACACACTGGGTTTTTTTCTATGCAGTACAAAAATAGACCATTTTGTGGAAACAAATGCTTGATATTTGTAGGACATTGTGCGCTTGGAGTAACATGCAATTATAGGCAAGATCAACATGGAAAAGCAGAATCCTGAGTCTGAGCTCAACCTGATCTTGACTTGCTCAGTGGTATTAGGTGAGTTACTTGACCCTTTCAGTGCTTATCACTCTGTAAACCATGAATCACATGTCTTGTGTACAAGGACATTTATTAAGATTTTAAGAACATCTTTATGTGGATGATTCTGGTGCCATGTTAAACTGATGATGAAGTTTATATTTTTAATAATTGATCACCTTATGATCTCCAGTGTTTTTAACTACTCTATTGATTGCCATTTCTAACAGATACAGACAAAAATAAGTCCTTGGCACTTAACGTTCCAGTTAAATGCTATATCACACCCACATCTTTTCAGTGCAGTAATATTCAAATAAACCCACAAACCAACCTCAACAGAAAAGCAAGCTGTCCAGCCAACTGACAATTAAATTGACATGTTTTTTTCTTCTGAAAGGCCATATTCTTAGGTGGCCTCTACCATTTTGAGCACATGTGAAAAAAAAAATCACAGTGTAGTTGGCTGGGCTTCAAGGCTGCGCAATGGCCAAAGTTCGGCCCAGAGGTTTTGTGATACAACTGGTGAGAGGGAGGTCAGGTTCAGGTTACGGTTTTGGTCTCCTGCTGTGTTTGGTTTTTTTTTCCCCCCCGCACACTGAAAGAGGATGTGGTGAGAGGTACCACAGCCATTTTCTCCTGCCTAACCCCACTCTTTCCAGCCTCCTCCGCTTCTACCATGGATAGCTTCTTGCTTCTTTATTGCTGTTAGGTATTACAGCTCCCCCCCAAGTTTGTGAAATATCCCTTGTTCATTTTCACTCTCTTCCAGGGTTTACTTCTCATATCCTCTTATTTCATTTTGAGGTATTAGAATTCCCTGTAACCATCAGATAAAACAACAGTGTGTAGTGGACAGAAATGACAGCCACTCATGTAGAAGGTCAATTGTTGGCTGCTGTTAAATCTTGTGTCACAATGCCAGAATATTTTACAAGGTGTGGACAGGCAGTACAGAAACCATCCTCTGTTATAATGTTGCCAACAGCTGCAGATGTGTGTTTACCTAGGACAAAAACCAAGAATCTTTGTCAAAGAACATCTTTTTTGCACTGTTCCTGCTACTTGCTCCGCAAGGGTGTATATTTTAATTTTTTTTTTTAGCTACCACCTGTCAAGGAGCTGGATATGAACGCTAGCCAAACGTGACTCAGATGAGAACAAGACTGAAAACAGAGAAGACAAACAACATGTCTATACTATTTGCTGGCTCTCCAGTAATGGCTTATGTAAAAGATAAGTTGGTTATCAATTATTCATCAGAGACTTTATATATCAAGAGAAACACAGGGGAGTGCTAGTGTCATGGTTTGAGATAGCCCCAAAATCCGATTCCCTAGCTCCATTCCCCCTCCCACATCTCAACCCAATGTGAGATGGGTTTTTCCAGACAAAACACAACCAGACTCAGAATGGGGGAAAGGGAATATATTACAATGACTATACAAATAAATACTATAACACATTATACACACGATCACTACTATCTCTACCATGACATATAGTATTTACAGTGGATCAGATCTCTTCTCCCCTCCAAATAAAAGTCCAGGAGGGAAAGAAGGACAGATCCCTTCCAGTCTCTCAGGGCAGCAGCTTCTTCAGAGTAGCAGAAAGCAGTCTATCTCTCTCTCTCATGCATGCAGCTGTTGCTGGATCTCTGCCAGCACTCACGAGGGAGGTATCCAAGCTCCCTCGGCCCTGTCGCCAACCAACCGAAGGGGTCTTCCGTGGGCTTTTGTAACCCCAGACAAGGCCGTTCCACCACGTCATATCACGAAGACGCAGGGGGTCTTCGTGACGGTCTGGTATCTCCAGGAGATTCAAGCTCCTTGCAGGGCCTCTGTGCCCTGCCTCAGGCTGCCACCTTGGCAGCAGTGCGAGGGGGGAGCCAAGGTCACCCCCTCTGCATTCCTCTCTGTCCCAGTCCAGCTTCCCAGGACGCTCTGAGCTTCTCAGCTCTTCTCTGCAGTGCATGTTGCACTTCAAGGCTCTTTCAAGTAAGAGTCCATCATCTTCCTCCTCTCCAGGAGGTCTCAAAGGAGTTTGGGGGGTCTGGTATCAGTTCTTACCCCCAGAACTCTGTAACTCTGCTGCTAGCTTCTGCTGCTACTCCGGTTCAGGTCTTATCAGTTGGCTTTTAGCCATAACCTCTGGACGCTGCCGCCGCTTCTGCTCTGTCTCTGCTCACTCATGATGGAAAACATCTCCCAGCTCACAGCTACAGACACATAGTCCAGCTTAACACTGTTCTCTGTAGCCCCCAACTGGGGCTGGGGGGCCCCCAGAGGCCCCGAGGGGCTCCGGGCCCCTTTCCTCGTGGCTCCTACAACATGGCTACTTCTTCTACTACCACCCAAACTACAACTCTTCTCTTCTGGTCTGGTTGTGGTATGTTTGCATTTCTGCAGGAGCGCCCATTGGACAGAACTTCAAAACTTCCAGGGGTTTCCACCCCTTGGGGGTTACCACTTTTCTTAGCCTCTGGGGGAAAACAAGGTTCAAAACACTAGAGCTAGATATAACTGTACTGAAATCAGAAGGGGAATTGGGTTCATGTACGCACCAAACATCAAGCAGGTCTATGTAACATTAAGACTCCCACCCATCTTTACCACTTCTTTACTGACACACATCCTGTATTCCGTTAACTGCTGGAGCAAGTCCAGAGGAGCCCACTAGGATGATTAGAGGGACGGAGCACTTGTACTGTGGGGAAGGGCTGAGAGAATTGGGTTTGTTCAGCCTGGAAAAGGGATGGTTTAGGGATGACCTTATTGTGGCCTTCCTGTACCTGAATGGAGGCTACAAGAGAGATGGAGAGGGACTTTTTACAAGAGCATTTAGTGACAGGACAGGGAGGAATTGATTCAAACTGAAAGAGAGTAGATTTAGGGTAGATACATTCAAAAAAATCTTTACTGTGAGGGTGGTGAGGTCCTGGCAGAGGTTGCCCCAGGAAGCTGTGGCTGCCTTGTCCTCTGCTGCACTCTTCATTTGTTGTAGCTCCTCAGTTAAATGCACTATTTCTATATAGAACACATCATTAATGAGTTTTATTGACATTTTGCTACTGAACAGCCTAGAGCAGGAGTTGGAGTAACTCAGAGTAGGAAAGGCTGTGCAGCATGCAACTCACTCTGCATGAATTTGCAGAGATAATGAGCCTCATTCTGATCATCTGAGTTCAACTCCACTGATTTCATGATGTCCACTGGTGCAAATCAGATCTGTACTGCTCTCCCTGACACCACCCAGGTCAGACTGTAGTGATGGGTGCTGTGAGTTATCCCCAGCTTTACTCCTTCTGAACTCGCTGACTGCCTGGGTCTGATCCTGGATGAGAGGAAGGAGGCATTTACCAGCATGGTTGGAAACTGCCCTCCCTTCTTGGTGTGCAGTTTGCAGGAAGGCATCTCTGACCAGAGCCATTTTTGTAATGTCACTCTTAGCCCCAGCAGCTGAGGAGCCACTGTCACCAGTTCTATGCAGTGGTGACAAAAAATAGAGGGAGAAATCCCCTTATGGTTGTGGAAAGAGTTATTATTTGACTTGTCTAAGTTTTTTATGTCTCTTTAATGTTTCCTAGAGATAAGCTGATTATATAATATGGAAAAAATATAGCCTTTATATCTAAAACTTAAAAATATATTCAAGAATGTTGTTGAAGTGTCCACAATTCTGAGTGCTCAGCTACAGGCAGGAAAGTAAAAAAAGAGGTGTTTTTTTTTTATAATTACTGAGATGAAAGAAACCCACAGCTCAATTTGCAAGTGTAATTCTGAGTACACAAAAAGCTGTATTATCACTCTTTCTTATTACTGGCATAACTTTCAAAATAAAAATCAACAGGCATGCATATGGATACTATGTTATGAAGAATGTAACTGGAACTAAATGGGAATCATTGATTAAGCTGGTTAGTCTTACAACATATGGAACACTGTAATTTGGACCTTCACTTGGAGTCTTTTAACTGGCAGCAAGCACACAGTTAAAGATGTGGTATGTTTACTTGTGATTTCTTCCCTGCATATCTTTATCTCTGGTTGTATTAAAATAGTTTCATATTTGATATTTTACATTCAAAAGCAGCAAAACACATAAAAGTAATTTATCATTTTATTGGTGCTACTGTTAATTTAAATGCTGACACTACCTGTTGGGAAAGCTGAAATCTGTTTGCTGGGATAGTTGGTACAGGGTGAAGGTCACGCTTGGCTGTAGTCCTGATTGTTTTGTTAGCACAAAGGGTTTGTCTGCTTGGGCAGCTCCTGGCTCGTGGTGAGGTGGAGTGCCCAGTGTCCATCTGGCTGTTGTGGGCAGTGAGTGTGAGGTGCTGTGTCACACGCCTCTGCTACTCCACGTGTGCCTGGAGGAGCCACTGCTGCCAGGGATCACTGCCACAGGCACTGGGGGGCAGGATTCTGGGCTCAGAGCATGGACCTACACCATTTTTGAAACCAGTTCCCTGTGCCTTTGAGTTTGCTCACTGACTGCTGAACCCATAAGGTCCCTCCAGCCTCTGTTACATCAGTGCTGAACTCCACTTGGGCTTGTTACTTTTTTAGAGAATCCCGAGGGTCCCATTTGGCTGTTCAGTGGGAGAGTGGAGGGTGGGAGACAGCTTGTGAGGTCACCTCTGCTGGCAAGCAGCTCCCATGGCCTCCAGCCCTCCCCTCAGCAGCTGGCTTTCCAATGGCAAGGAAAGGTTTTGTTGAGACGACCCAGGGGAAAGGCCTGTGTAGTGTCTGAAGGCTCTACAGAGTCCTCGTGCTGGGCAGTGATAGGAAAGCTGCTCCCCTGCAGGGAAAGCCCTGTGTTTCTGTGCTTGTCTGCTCTCCCATTATCACTGACCTCAGTGCCATGTTTACCTTTGCCTGCTGTGTGATAGGTGTGGGATATAAGCACATTTGTCCAGGGTAGGGTGTGATTCTGCTCCCTTGAAGCCTGAGGGTTGGCTGTAGGTAACAGGAGATCACCCACTAACTCTGGGTTCCCAGAGGGTGTGAGCTGTG